GCTCGAGCGGGACTTACCCCGCTCGAGCGGACCGTGCAATTTCTGAAATTTTAAAATTCTAATTAAAAGTTCCAACCTGATATCCAAAGTTTCAAACATGTACTTTCGTATACTAATGCAACATTCATATAGCGAGTCTGAATCTGTACTTATTCATAATGGTCTTAGAACTTATCTTGGGACATATTGGCTTGAACATAATGTTTTGGCTTAAAGCCCTTGTCTAGTGTGGCACAAATTCTCTATCATGGTGGCACGAAGCCGTAAACATAGTGGCGCAAGGCCCTTAAATAAATTGGCATGGAGCCCTTGAATCATTTGGCATTAAGCCCTTGTAAATTGGCATTGAGCCCTTGTAAAGTGGCATTGAGCCCTTGAATCATTTGACATTAAGCTCTTGTACATTCTTGTATGAACTCAAGAGGTGTCTCACAGGGTTCTAGCAGTGACTCACATTGTAGCACTTAGTCCCGTGTAGCACTTTGTTTCATATCGTAGTTACTTATACCGTATGGCCAAAGGCTCATAATTTTAAAGGATGGAATCACTTCATCTTCCCCATTTCTGTATATACCCACATCACAACATGAACATAATTACATATCGCATATGAACAAGATGCTAACGACAATTGTTAGCTATACATATGAAACATATAATGGTACTACTACTCATAGTGGTGTTGAGATGACGTGCTACTTCCTCCCGGAGTGTGTCCTGTACACAATCAAAACTTGCATATTAGTTCTTCTTTTTCCTTGGTAAATTAGGTCCTGATTCATTACGCTTCTAGTGAATTTATAACTATCTTAAGATCATCAAAACATAATCTAAAAATAGTAGAGGGTCGAGCACACAAAACAGAACAAATAATTTTTCTTCATCTCCGCTCGAGCGGCCGTGACTCGCTCGAGCGGCTGTGCCCCTGTTTTGGCAGTTCGAAGTTTAACCAAAAAAAAAAAACAGCAATACCAACACATTTTACATGCAAAACAAGGAGGAATTTATGCAATACATTGACCTAACCTTACTATAACTTGAATTATCATCTAAACCACACAAAGTAAACATGTTAGAAGCTTCATCACTTTTGCAATGTCCTTATGTTCATAAAACACAACATCTTGTATATATATACCTTCATGGGGTTAACATAAAACTAAAGATTGAAGTGTAACTTTCACATAACACCTAAATTTGGTGACAAAACAACCAATTGATAAGGAACCCCCTTTAATCAACCATAATTCATACATAATACAAACCCTAAGTTGTCAAAACAAGAAATCATCCTTCCTTGAGTCCAAGTGAAGGTTAAATGGGTTGGATGGAGCTTACCTTGATTTAAATCCCACAACTTTCCTCAATTTGGCAATCTCTCTTGTTGAATTTCGTTTCCCCCAATTCTTCTTCGCCACACTCTTTATTTTCTCTCCCAGGAGATGTTGAATGGAGAAGTTCTTAAGTCTTAACTCAATAATACACTTAGAGACATATATAGTCATACATAAAAAAAACATATATAAGGGCATATAAGACAAAATCTAATTGTTTAATCATTCCGAAATTCAAATTTCGTGGCCATGCTTAATATTACATAAAAATTATGCTGATCCCATATATAAAATCAATTTCAGATAATTAAGCCCCTAAGGCTTCCAATTTCTGATTCAAATATTCTAAGTGTAACAGATACGATTCTTGGAGAACAGATAGACATCCTTAACTATGGATTTCACTTACATACCCTTAATTTCTCTCGGAATTTTACAATAAACATTTAAAAGCGTAAAACAAGAACTGAAAATATATCAGAAAACATATACGAGGGTTAGGTTATTACACTCTCCCCCCCTTAAATATGTTTGATCCTCCAAACTTGTTTTACCTTAGGACTGAAATAGGTGTGGGTATTGGCGTTGCATTTCCTCTTCTTTTTCCCAAGTTGCATCGGTTCCATAATGTTCTTGCCACTCAACTTTTACCATTGGAATTTCCTGGTTTCGTAATTGTTTCACTTGTCGGTCCAAAATGCAGATTTGTTTTTCCTCGTAAGTTAGCTTGTCATCCAACTCAATTTGGTGGTAGTCAATAACATGAGACAGATCCGGGAGGTATCCGCGAAGCATAGAGACATGAAACACGTTATGTACTTGACTCATATTCGGCGGAAGGGCAACTCGGTAAGCTACCAGACCCACTTTCTCCAAAATTTGGAATGGACCTACATACCGGGGTGTTAAGTTGCCCCTCTTCCCGAACCTTGGATGTCCTTTCATCGGAGTGACCTTCAGAAAAACATGACTATCTACTTCGAATTCAAAATCCCTTCGTCGATTATCCGCATAATTTTTCTGTCTACTTTGCGTAGTTTTCAATCTTTCCCGAATAGTTTTAATCTTTCAAGTGGTTAACTGAACAATTTCAGGGCCTAGCAAGGATTTATGTCCAACTTCAGACCAACATACTGGAGACCGACGTGGTCTTCCATACAGAGCCTTATAGGGTGCCATCTCGATACTTGAGTGGTAAATATTGTTGTATCCGAACTCTATCAATGATAGATGGGTTTCCCAACTTTCTTGAAAATCCAACACACACATACGGAGCATATCCTCTAAAGTCTGTATCGTTCTCTCGGATTGACCGTCGGTCTGGGGGTGGAATGCTGTGCTGAACTTTAATTTCGTACCCAATGCTTCTTGTAAACTTTGCCAGAATCTGGAAACAAACTTTGGGTCCCTATTTGACACAATTAAAACTAGAACACCGTGAAGCCTCACAATTTCATTCACATAAATTACTGCCAGTTTATTTGCATTATACTGAGTCTTTACTCGTAGGAAGTGAGCGGATTTAGTTAATCAGTCCACTATGACCCATATTGAATTTATACCTCGAGGAGTTCGTGGTACCCCCACAACAAAATCCATGGTCAGATGTTCCTATTTCCATTCCAGGATAGGAAGGGGTTGTAACAAACCGGCAGGTTTTTGATGCTCCGCCTTTACTTGCTGGCATTGCAAACACTTAGAGACGAACTCCGCGATCTCCTTCTTCATACTTCGCCACCAAAAATTTTGTTTCAAATCTCGGTACATTTTGGTACTCCCTGGATGCATTGAAAACTTTGAGGTATGTGTGTCTCCCATCAGCTTTTGCTTAAGGTTCAGCACATTGGGGACACATATTCGGTTTTGAAATTTGAGCACCGCATCTACTACACTGATTCCGGACTTCGGTTTAGTTTCTAATTCATCACATATCTTCTTTAGAGTTTCGTCTTCCATCTGATATAATTTAATTTCCTCAAGTAAGGTTGGTTGGGCCATCACCGCTGCCATTAAAGCTTCTTGTCCCTGTAACACAAGGTCCACTTCCACTTTAGCCGATTCATTTGCTAATTCCTTTTGCCCTATAGACAAACTTGTCGAAGTCCCCATGCTTTTCCGACTGAGCGCATTTGCAACTGTGTTGGCTTTACCAGGATGATAACGAATCTGCAAATCATAATCTTTAATAAGTTCCAACCATCATCGCTGCCGCATATTTAACTCTTTTTGAGTAAAAAGGTACTTGAAACTCTTGTGGTCGATGTATACTTCACAGGTAGTGCCATACAGATAATGTCTCCATATCTTCAAAGTAAAGACGACTACTGCTAACTCAAGATCATGAGTGGGATAATTCTTCTCATGGGGTTTCAGTTAACGAGAAGCATAGGCGATAGTTCTTCCATTCTGCATAGGTACACAACCATGTCCTGTATAAGAAGCATCACTGCAATTTACAAACCCTTCGGTACCGGAAGGTAAGGCCAACACTGGTGCTGTAATCAACTTTGTCTTCAATTCTTGGAAAGCAGACTCCCGTTCTTTTGTCCATTCAAATGCAACTCCTTTTCGAGTCAGTTGTGTAAGCGGCATAGCAATTTTTGAAAAATCTTGAACAAACCGTATGTAGTAGCCGGCTAACCCCATAAAACTACGTACTTCAGTCACATTAGTGGGAGTTGGCCAATTCACTATTGCCTCAATCTTGTGTGGATCAGCAGAAACTCCTTCCTTAGTGATAACATGCCCCAGAAATGCCACCTTTAGTAGCCAAAATTCACATTTCTTCAGCTTTGCATACAGTTTCTTTTCCCGGAGGGTTTGAAGAATCAACCGAAGATGATTCTCATGAGCTTATACAGTCTTCGAATAAATGAGAATATCATCAATAAAGACCAACGCACATTCATCCAAATAAGGCTTAAAGACGCGGTTCATTAAATCCATAAAGGCTGCTGGGGCGTTAGTAACTCCAAAGGGTATAACCAGAAATTCATAATGACCATAACGAGTTCGAAAGGCTGTTTTCTCAACATCATCAGCCTTAACCCTTAATTGATGGTACCCAGACCGTAGATCGATTTTAGAAAAGACTTGTGCCCCCTGAAGCTGGTCAAATAAATCATCAATCCTTGCCAATGGGTACTTATTCTTGATTGTTACCTTCTTAAGTTCCCTGTAATCAATGCAAAGCCGGAGTGTTCCATCATTCTTTTTCACAAACAGAACTGGTGCACCCCACGGAGACACACTCGGACGAATGAATCCCTTGTCTAGTAAATCTTGCAATTGAAGTTTTAATTCCTTTATCTCAACTGGTGACATTCTATACAGGGTCTTAGAAATGGGTTGAGTTTCCAGTGCCACTTCGATTGTAAACTCAATTTCTCGATCTATCAATTGCCCTGGTAACTCTTCTGGGAAGACATCCGGAAATTCACGAACAACTAGAATTATGTCAGTACCCTCATTCACCATTTGCTCTTTTACAACACTACACAGATACCCCTAACACCCTTTCTGAATTAATCTACAAGCCTTTGCTACATAAATCAAATACGGTGGGGAAGTCACCTCTTGTCCCTGAAATATAGATTCTGCTTGACCCGGAGAGTGAAAACTCACTTGCTTAGTCAAACAGTTTATAGTTGCACTATGTTCACTCAATCAATCCATTCCCAGTACAATATCAAAATACATCATATCGAGAGGTATTAAGTTAGCGTATACCCGAATATTCCCAAGGTGGAGTTCACAAGCAGCATATATAGAAGTACAAATCATAGAATCTCCCAATGGTGAAGACACACACAGCATATAGGATAATGCTTCCTCAGATGTATCTAAATTAGGAGTAAATAGCTTTGACACAAAAGAATGAGTAGAACTGGAATCAAACAATACACAAGCAGAATGACCGTGAACCATAAATGTACCTGACACCATTGTCGCCGCCTTTTGCACATCTCCCGGAACCAATGCAAACACCCTACCTTGTCTCGCGGCGTCTTTGTTGTTAGTAGCTTTGACCGGTGCCTTGGTATTGATAGTTGGTGCAGACCCCGTTAAGCTAGTAGCAGTCTTGTTGCTATTTTGCTGCTGCTTCCTCTGAGGGCAATCCCTTATCACATGGCCCGTCTTTCCACACTGAAAGCAGGCTCCAAACTTCCGATAACATATCCCACGGTGCCTCTTTCCACACTCCACGCATACAGGAATTGAATCTTGATTAGGGGTAGAAACATTTGAAGTCCCTGAATTTTGTTTCTTATTTGGTGGAGTAGTTGCCCCCTTCGACCATTGACTGTTTTGCCTTTTCCCCTTCCATTCAGAAATTCGATTTTGTGCATCGATATTCCCTTCTGCTATAACGGCCCTCTCTAACACTTCTACATAGGTAGGCAGCATTAACATATTAACTCGGTCCAGAATAGCACCCCGTAATCCCCCTTCAAATTTTCGTGCCTTCTTATAGTCCGTGTCCATCATGTGAGGTACGAACCGGGCCAACTCGGCAAACTGGGCTTCATACTCAACAACAGTCTTGTTCCCTTGCCTGAGGGTTTCGAATTCAGTCACCTTTTTATCTCGCATACTTTGTGGAAAATACTTATCATAAAATATCTCCAAGAACCTGTCCCATGTCAATCCTTAATGTACAGTTCTCGTAAGCATCCACCATCTCCGCGCCTCATCCTCGAAAGTGAATGCAGCCAATTGCACCTTCTGAGCTTCGGTACAAGGAAAGACTTCAAATAACTTCTCTATTCCCAACACCCATGCTTCAGCTTTCATTGGTTCTATTCCTCCTTTGAAGGACGGCGATTTCATCTTTTTAAACTCTTTGATAAGGGTAATGGTTCGGTCTTTAGCATGGAGATCTTGTACTGTCGGTGGAGGTACCAGTGGTGGTGGCGGTTGTTCTTGTGGCTGTTGCTGCTGTTGTTGCCGTAAAGTCTCCGCCATTTTCATAATCATTCTCTCCATTCTATCCAACCGTGCAGTAGTAGCATCTTCCACATCTTCTGTCCTTGTTCTCACCATTGCCTACACAACAAGCATTTACACACAATAAACATATTCAAAATTGTCAACCTTATCAGAGTACTCTTAACGTTGCCATCGATCTCTCATATACTTGCAGGATGTCATGCAAAATGCCTAAAACTTTTCTAGACACCCTAGAGCTCAATGAATCCGTGTGTGAGATAGCAACTCGTGCTCTGATACCACTTGTCAAGCCCCCAACCCGCCCCTAAAAGTTTGGGCATGACCTATACGGAAACGGACACATACACTAGCATACATAGTATACGGGGCCTTAACGAAACTAAAATAATATACCAAACTCCATTGAGTTACCTCTAATATGCCAGGATCGCATGCGTCAAGAACATTAGAATAAACAGTTACAAGCCAAAATTATACATTAAGCGTCAGTTACATACATACGTATACAGTCCCAACCCTAAGGAAGGGCAATTACAAAAACATTTAAGTCATGTTCAATCAACCTTAATGAGTAGTTAAAATACAAGTTAACATCTTAGCGAAGCTTCACAAAAATGAGTAATCTCGTCTAATGCCCGGACTCAGAAAGGTTGACAAAAAGAATAGACGTCCTGGGTTAGGGTTGACCTCCTGGTTGGTTACCTACAGAAACAGACATATCAAAAGGAGAGCCAACCTTAGTGAATAGTAATACATAACTAAAGTAATGCCTAACTTGAATCATAGTAAAAGAATACATATAGATTCGTAGTTTGTCGACACTTATTGATCCACAAATCATGTCTAAAATACTTTGGAAAGAGAAGTGGACATAAATATGAACTAAATGCAACTTCCCAAATGATTCTGAAAATGGATCCCCGCTCGAGCGCCCATTTTGCCACTTGAGCGGACTGTGCGATTTAACAAAAATGCTGGGAGGTCGATTTTTACGCTCGAGCGGAAATTACCCCGCTCGAGCAGACAGCGAAAAGTCTGAAAACTACTGAGAGGTTAATTTTTACGCTCGAGCGGGAATTCCCCCGCTCGAGCGGACCATGCAATTTCTGAAATTTTAAAATTCTAATTAAAGTTCCAACCTGATATCCAAAGCTTCAAACATGTACTTTCGTATACTAATGCAACATTCATATAGCGAGTCTGAATCTGCACTTATTCATATTGGTCTTAGAACTTATCTTGGGTCATATTGGCTTGAACATAATGTTTTGGCTTAAAGCCCTTGTCTAGTGTGGCACAAACTCTTAATCATGGTGGCACAAAGCCCGTAAACATAGTGGCGCAAGGCCCTTGAATAATTGGCATGGAGCCCTTGAATCATTTGGCATTAAGCCCTTGTAAATTGGCATTGAGCCCTTGAATCATTTGACATTAAGCTCTTGTACATTCTTGTATGAACTCAAGAGGTGTCTCACACGGGTTCTAGCGGTGACTCATTCCCCATTTCTTTATATACACATGTCAAAACATGAACGTAATTACATATCGTATATGAACAAGATGCTAATGACCATCATTAGGTACATGTAAAGCATATTACTACTCACAGTGTTGGGACGACGTGCTACTTCCTCCCGGAGTGTGTCCTGCACACATTCAAACTTGCACATTAGTTCTTTCTTTCTTTGATAAATTAGGTCCTGATTCGTTACACTTCCATTGAATTTATAACCATTTTAAGATCATGAAAAAAATAATCTAAAAATAACTGAGGGTCAAGCATGCAAAACAGAACATATAATTTTTCCTTCTTTTCTGCTCGAGCGCCCAGAACTCCGCTCGAGCGGCCGTGTCCCTGTTTTGGGGCAGTTCGATTTCAACTTAAAATTCAGCAACACCACCTCATTATACATGCCAATCAAGGTAAAATTAATGCAATATATTGACCTAACTTTACTATAACATGAATTATCATCTAAACCACACAAAGTAAACATGTTAGAAGCTTCATCACTTTTGCAATGTCCTTATGTTCATAAAACACAACATCTTGTATATATATACCTTCATGGGGTTAACATAAAACTAAAGATTGAAGTGTAACTTTCACATAACACCTAAATTTGGTGACAAAACAACCAATTGATAAGGAACCCCCTTTAATCAACCATAATTCATACATAATACAAACCCTAAGTTGTCAAAACAAGAAATCATCCTTCCTTGAGTCCAAGTGAAGGTTAAATGGGTTGGATGGAGCTTACCTTGATTTAAATCCCACAACTTTCCTCAATTTGGCAATCTCTCTTGTTGAATTTCGTTTCCCCCAATTCTTCTTCTCCACACTCTCTATTTTCTCTCCCAGGAGATGTTGAATGGAGAAGTTCTTAAGTCTTAACTCAATAATACACTTAGAGACATATATAGTCATACATAAAGAAAACATATATAAGGGCATATAAGACAAAATCCAATCGTTTAATCATTCCGAAATTGAAATTTCGTGGCCATGCTTAATATTACATAAAAATTATGCTGATCACAAATATAAAATCAATTTCAGATAATTAAGCCCCTAAGGCTTCCAATTTCTGATTCAAATATTCTAAGTGTAACAGATACGATTCTTGGAGAACAGATAGACATCCTTAACTATGGATTTCACTTACATACCCTTAATTTCTCTTGGAATTTTAAATAAACATTTAAAAGCGTAAAACAAGAACTGAAAATATATCAGAAAACATGTACGAGGGTCAGCTTATTACATGCTGTCCCATTTCTTAGTTGCCTTAGGCTCCGGAGGATCTAGCGTCCATTTGATTGAGGTTACCCAAGGCTTAAAATGGGCAAGAGCTGCATTGCCATGACACTGGCTGAGACATTGATGGGTTTGGATACCTTCCATCACCGAGAGATGACTAGATTCGCCGGGAGTCCACTACTGCTACAAGTAATGTTTCCCACCCTATCTCACTTATATTTCTCACATCACTCGGCCCTCAGGCTCGGTTTTTCTCTCAAAACCCTTTTCTCAGTTTTCTCTCAACGTACATCTCTCTATTCTTTAATCTCTCATTTTTCATCCCTCCCCAGATATGGTTGATGTATAAATTAAAGGTTGTGGACTCATGTCCAGCATATTCAGCTTGCGGCTATTTCTTCCGGCGACGTCTAGTCGATGCCCCTGATGAGGGATGGTGGTGCGAATGGATGTGCAGTCTATCCGCTACCAATATTGCTTGGCGCTACCCTTGGCTCAATCTGCTGGCGATAAGTTATAGCATGTCTCGCCAGCCTGGGATTCAGTTGATCGGCCTGACCCACTGTGTATTTTACTTCCCATTCCGATTTCGGTGCCAGTTTGGACATGATCAGACTTGGCCAATAGAGGGGATAGAATACCCTACTGCATTTCCAGTTTGAGGCACACAGCTAGCTCGGTATGCCACAGCATGGAGGACGAGAGAGCTTCTGGCCCCCGCTTCCACTTTCAGTTGCACTCTCTCTGATGAATGCATAGCTTGGCTTGATGATGAGGCACAAGTTGGGCCTACTTTGGCATCAGAGGCTTCCACAAGCTTTCGAAGGGGGCGCAGGAACACCTAACTTGACTATACCTTGAGTTTATTTGCTTTAATCAGTACTTTCATGTTTTCTTTATGAATGCAATAAAAAGCAACTTCAATTTGTATTCAAGAGTAAGAGAACTCTGTTCTGAAATCAATGTATTGAAGGTTGTGGGTACTGAAAATTTTATGTTTGGTCCAAAAATGGTCTAATTTGTAAAAAGATTAATTTGAGCAAAATCAACTTTTATTAAAACTTTTCAAAACCATTTTTGATATGGATCAAAACTGGATACGCCCGAGATCTATCACTGAGATATACAACCCCGGATCTCATCAACTGGAAAGTTGCCCCTAGTCTGAATAGCACTGCACTGGAGATCACAACCGAGCTCTTGAATGCAGAATAAACAAAGATGACCAACATGATCAGATGGACAAAGTTGATTTGGAAGTGTTTATGGCTGGACTTCAGAATGAAGTTGCCTACGTATCCCGAGGATGGGAATCAAGCCTTACGTAGTTCGGCTTAGGTTCACTCGTGTATTAACACTCTCCTTTTATGCTCTAACTTTTTCCAAGGCCGCCCTTTCTGGGTTTTCAATCTTGCGAGCTCAATTTTTATCATTTCAAATTTTTCATGCTCTAACTTTTGCCTAGGTCGCCCTTTCGGGTTTTCGACCTAGCGAGCCACTCAGGGATAGTATTTCTTCAACTTGTCCATGTTGATCGGCTGGGAGAACTCTTGGCCATCTAGGTCCATCAGAACGATAGCTCCACCCGACCAAATAGACTTGATGATGTAGGGACCAGTCCAATTGGGTCTGAACTTGCCCCTAGGGTCATAAATGGGAGCTCGGTTGTCTTTGAGCACAAGATCCCCCTCTTTCAAATTCCTAGACTTAACCTTCTTGTTGAAAGCCCTGGAAATTCTTCGTTGATAACCCTGGACGTGATACAGTGCTTTCAGCCTTCTTTCATCAAAGAGCATAAGTTCTTCGAACCTGTCAATCTGCCTCAGCTATCTGACTCTCAGCCAATACCCGTAATGACGGAACCTCAACTTTGATAGGTAGAACAACCTCCATCCTGTAAAGCAAGGAATACAGAGTTGCTCCAATAGAAGTTCGAATTGAAGTTCAATAGCCCCACCGAGCGAATGGCAGCTTATCTGGCCAGTCCTGGTAGGTTTCCACCATCTTCTGCAGAATGTGCTTGATGTTCTTGTTGGCAGCCTCAACTGCTCCGTTGGTCTGCGGCCGATATGTAGATGACTTATGAAAAGTCACGTTGTACTTCTCCAATAAGTCGATCACTTCCTTCTTAAAGTGGGAACCATTATCTGAAATGATCTCATTCAGGACCCCGTAGCGATAGATAATGTTGTTTCTGATGAACTCAGTAACATGCGATGCCTTCAACACCACGTAAGATTGGGCTTCAACCCACTTCATAAAGTAGTCTATCACTACCAGAATGTACTCATGCCCGTTGGACCCTTTTGGAGTGACAGCCCCAATCACATCAATTCTCCAGACTGAAAACGGCCATGGCGAAGTCATGCTATACAGCTTCGACGGTGGAATGTTCATGCGGTTTGCATGGATTTGACATTTGTGGCATCGCCGGACAAAGCCAATACAATCCTCCTCTATGGTGGACCAGAAATAACCCTGTCTAAGGATCTTCCGAGCTAGCATTACCCCGTTCATGTGCGCTCCGCACTCTCCTCCATGAATGGTCTCCATCAGGCGCTTGGATTCTTCAGTATCAACACATAGTTTATACATCCCGAGATGACCCCTCTTGTACAGTTTACCCCCGCAAACGATGAATTGAGCAGCCATTCTTCGAATTACCCTTTTATCTTTGGCATTTGCCCCTAGCGGATATACCTCTTTTTCCAAGAAGTTCCAGACATCGTAATACCAAGGATTCTCATCTTGTACTTCATCTATGGTAGCAATCAGCTCGTACGCCGGCACGAATTTCTGTTCGATGATGATCGGACGTATCAGGACTTCGAAAGAGATGTCTGTCATAGAAGATAGAGTTGCTAATGAATCAGCGAACCTGTTGTTCTCTCTTAACAGATGGGCGAAATTCAGCTTCTCAAATCGAGGAATTAGCACGTCCAAGGTCTAGTGATAGATTCTCATCTTTTCTTCTTTAACTTTCCAATCTCTTTTAGCTTGAGATACAACAAGGTTTGAGTCCCCAATGACATCTAACCGTTTTGCCCCTAGTTCCAGGGCGGCTTCTAGTCCAGCAATACATGCCTCATATTCTGCCTCATTGTTCGACACTCTGAACCGAGTTTGAATGCTAGAGGTATAAAGGAATTGCCGGGTGCTATCAGCAAAACCCCTATCCCACACCCGTATTGGTTTGACGCTCCGTCAAAGTACATCGTCCAAGTCTCTTCTTTGACATGCAAAATAGCCTCGTCTGGGAACAGATACTCAACTGCTTCATCCCCTTCAACTGGGTGATCGGCTAGGAACTTCGCTACCGCTCTCCCTTTCACTGACTTGCGCGTCATGTACTTCAGATCAAATTCGGAAAGCAAAAGCAACCAACAGGCTAGCCTACCCGTAAGTGCCGGTTTCTTGAAGAGATATTTGATGGGATCTAATATCGAAACCAGTATTACGGAGTGAGCTAACAGGTAGTGCCTCAGCTTCCTGGTAGCCCATACCAAGGCCAGACAAGCCTTCTCCAGCGGAGTGTAGCGGGTCATGTAATCCAGCATTTTCTTGCTCAAGTAGTAGATAGCTTTCTCCGCTTTGTCCTCAGACTCTTGCGCAAGCATACAACCCATTGTAGTTTCAGTCACTGAAAGATACAGAATCAACGGTTTTCCCGGCTCAGGCGGTGACAACACAGGTAGGTTCTGTAAATATTGTTTAATCTGTTTGAAAACAACTTGGCATTGGCCGTCCCATTGGAACTTCTTTCCTTTCTTCAGAAGACCAAAGAGTGGTTCACAAGTCAAGGTCAATTTTGTAATAAATCGTCTTATGAATTGCACTTTACCTAAAAAGCCTTGCACCTCCTTTTCAGTCCTTGGTGGTGGCATTTCTAAGATGGCCTTGATTTTCAAAGGATCGACCTCGATACCTCTCTGTGTGATCAAGAACCCCAGCATTTTCCCAACTGTAACACCAAACATACATTTTTGAGGATTCAGCCGCAACCGAAATTCTCTGATCTATTGAAAGAATTTTCTGCTGACCCTTCCAAGTTGAACCAGTTGACAGTCACGTCCCCTGGATCCTGTTCATTGAAAAACTGAATGTTGGCAATGTCCTCTTCCAGCTCCGCTAGATCATCTAGCCCCTGATTAGGTTCATCCTCTCGAACTACACAGATCTCTGCCCCAACCGACAGCTCTACTCTCAGCTTAAACTGATCCGTTGCTGTGATATAACCACTCGGGTTGTACTCAAAGTTTGCAGACCCTTCAGGCTCTGAATCATTATTCTCATTTGGCTCCACAGT